TCGTTCATAGTCCAATTGCTCTTAGATCTTCCTCCTGATGAAAATTGACCGTTGCCTATGTTGAGTTAATTTGGCCCCAAGTTAATTCGCAGCAATAGGATCTTAGTTAATAAAGTATGATAGAGAAATTCCGATCCTTAATAAGAATTTTGAAAAGCTTAGTGAAAGCGAGTTTTTAATTAATGTGATCAGTAGATGCTAAGTTTTAAAACTATTAGAAAGTTTATCGCTGCCAAGGCATATTATTTTTTATTATACTCTTGTTCATCTGATAGCGTGTTGGTCCAAGATGAAATGAAGACGACGCTTGATTTTGCAGACAATTTCGCCACCACACATCCCAAAAGTGTCTTTTTCCGAGCTGTACTGCTGTCCCTACTCCAAGAAAATGCGGTAGAGGAAGCAAATACATTGTCTTTTAATTTGTGTCAGCTTAACCCAGTTTTGTCTCCAAATGACATGAATTTCCGGGCAAGGAAGGCAGCTCTTAAGTCATGCTATTTTCCAGAGCATTTATGCATTCTTAAGGAGGTTTTATCTCCACTGATCCGTTTCTGAGCCGACCACATCCTCGAATACTATACTGGGGTTGTCGTAGAGATATACATCTGAAATAGGTTAATGGTAGTCTGATATTCATCGAAACTTCTTAACTCAAAAGGGCTAAGATACTAACACGTAACCCAATTCATCTTTATTTATTTACCCAATAAATCATTTATTGCTAAGCTTTTAATTTAGTAATCTATGACATTTACCCCTATGGACATTTTTAAATGTCTAATATATTAGCAAATAAAATTTAATTGAATGCTTCTTATGCTTCATTAATTTACAGTGGAATTCGCTTTTGTCCGAAATCGAGAGTGGTGTAAACAAGATGCAGGCTTCTGCAAAGGCTTTTGAAGTTCGTGACATTCCCGCCTATATGGATCTGAAGGCAATGCGAAGAGAGATGAAGGTTACCAAACGGGTTTGGGATTATATAAACATGTTTGAAAGCTATGTAACTGCTTGGAAAAAGGCACGGTGGAAGGAAATCGAGTTTAGCGCCATTGACGAGGTAAGATTCGACGAGCTTATCAAAACCCTGGCATAACATTAAAAAATACCGATTCTTCTAATATGTGGGATATTTAAACTTTCAAGCACTCTTGATAATTTGTGAATTAATATACTTAATTAAAATTTTATGGCGCTATCAGTACATTTAAAAATTATTATCGTATCACAAAAATTGCAGCGTAGATTTAGGAACTCAAAAAAGGTAATCTTAAGCGACCAAAAAAAGCGAAGGCAAATGGCAAATATAAATTCTTATCGCGTCATGATGAGGATAGTGTTAAGTCTAGGACATATGCATTGGAGCATGTTTTTAGCGTACCTCATATAACGGATAATTTAACTATTTTAAAAGTAGAACGGAAATGCCTTAGTATGTAACCCACTTTGAGTTCCATTAAATCCAATGCTGATCTGCATAATATCGTGGCTTTTGGCCATAAATTACATCAAGTTGCAACTAAATATGTTCCAAAACCTGAGTTCTTAAAGGTATTATTACACGAATTAACTTTAGGAAGACAACGCCGATGTATGCTATCAAATTATAATTAGGGATTTGAGGTCAGTAATGATATCATATATTCGTATGATTAATATTATCTAATATTAATACTATAATATAAAAATTTATCATTAAAATAATGGGAAAGTCATCTTAAAAGTGATTCATTTTTTAAATATTTTCCTATAATATGCTATTAAGCTTTGCTTTTAACAACTCTAATATCTTTTGCGTATAAAATACTTACCTAAAAATTTACATCTATTCTCCACATTTGGTAGGAATGCAGATTAAAATTAGCTTCTTTATAGTGCTTCAGCAGCTCCTCATATACACATCTTTCCTTTATGGTTATGCTAGTCACCGCAAATGGGATTTTTACCATATTATTCTTTTGATTGTGCTCCACCTTGAAGTTCCATTACCTATGCATAGCATAAATTACAGTTTTAACGTATTAAAAATGCCACAAAAGCGATAATTTGGCTCACTACTCTCCTCTCAGGCAATTCATGAACTTATTCGTAATACATTTCTTGTTAATAGATATACTATTTTGTATTGTTTGACTTCTACTAGAGGCCTTACA